ACTAGAATGGTACTCCTTAACAACATTGGTAGGGGCACAACATGTGAATAACCAATGACCTATTCCATCAAAACGGAAGTAGAGTGTGGAAGGTTGAGGTTTGGGAACAATATCTTTTATTCTTGAAGTTTTAGGTCTTAGATGCCAAAGATCATGCTTTGGGCATGATGCCACACCTTGGCAGGCCTTGATTCTACCATATGTTGTAAAAACAAACTCGAAATTGAATTGTGAAAGAGATAGACCCAGATTTGGGTTTGGTAGGTTCTAGCCGAAGTTGGAGAAGTCTGTTTGGTAGGCCTCTGTCGAAGCAGAGGAATACCATTTGGTGCATCTCTCCCGAAGTAGAGCATGCCCTTTGGTGCATCCTTGCCGAAGTAGGGTACCATCATTCAATAGACTCTAGCCGAAGTTGAGTTGAGCCATTCGGTAGATTCTAGCCGAACTGGGTTTATACCGTTCTGTAGACTAGCTAAATCTGGGTCTATACCTTTCTCTCACGTTTGTGGTAGTAATAAGATCCAAGAATTTGGTAAACTTCCATTTTCTACACTGCTGCTTCAGGAGCGAGTTAGAAACAAGGAAGGACTAGAAAAGTATTCTCTAGTCAAAATTCGATCGGATTTATAAAATTCAGAATCATACTCATTCATGGATGTAATCATGGTGTGCTTCATGCAATATCTTTCATGATTAGACAGTCCGTAAGAGCGAGCCAAAGAGCCATGAAATCCTTGTTCGAGAGGTACTTCCATTTGTAATGCTTCGGGCATAAGTATTTGAATAAAGATCATGGTAGAGACTTATTCAGCTTTTCCATGCCATTGTTGGCTTCAATGGTTTCTCAGCTTCTTGACAGTCAAGTGGAGATTCACGTCTTGTACCCCACATAAGGTGATTTCTATTAGAAGCGTCCAATTTAGGAAAATCGAACTTGTTACGATACAACAATCCACTGATTTGGAGGGAACAAGATTGTGATTGGTACTATGGGAATGAATCATCCATAAGCATCAAAGTTAGAACATTCGAGTTCCAAGACATGGTTTTCATGAAAAACGTTGGGTTTTCATGGGTGTATTGTTTAAAAAAAAAACTTCGGGTTTCAAAGGCACTAAATTTGAAACTACATGTTCAATTTAGTTTATGAACGTTTAGTTCATAAATGAGAGGTTCCTGTAAGAACGCATAATGCAATATGCCGATTTAAGTGTAGTGGATTTGAGTTGCTTTGGGAACTCAAGTGTGAGTGCTTTGGGACTACGAAAGGATGTCAACAGTTCAAAGAAGAAAAACAAATTATTGAATTGTTAATTCCAAAAGTGAGCTTCAGGCTAATAATTTTGGATTTCTTGTCAGATTAATAGACAGCTGGTCATTTTTAATTAATTCAATAGATCGGGACCATTCGGGGTCGATCATAGAAGCAAAAATAAAATTTGTCTAGGCCTTTAGATGATTTAATGTTGGTTGTAGGCCAGACATAAAGAATCAAGCCCAAAATTGGGCTTGGGTTGAATGAGTTGCAAACCCAGACAAAGTTGGGTTACGGGTCGAGGCAAGGAAATAACAAGAGATAATTTTTGGGTTGTGTGGGATAGCAGCGCAGCTTCACGCTAGCTGCAGGTTGAAACAAGAAAAAAACCAGCCCCAAATTAGGTTGGGAATATCAGGATACTGCAAACTCTTATATGTTGATCCAAGGCAAGCCTAAAAACTGAAGGGCCATTCTGGAAAAACAAGTCCCAAGCCTAAATAGTGGGTTGGGTGGCACGTGGGTTGAGCATTGAGAGGCCCAAGGCCTCGATAGGTGTATCTAAACAAATCCGAGCGATGCTGGATCTGTGGAAGTCGCCGGGGAAGAAGGTGGCGCTGCCACGGCGGCGACGATATCAGTCCAAAATAAAAGGTCGGAATCCATGGAGCATCGACATAAAACAATCAAGATGTCATAGAAGTCTAAAAAATCAGAGATTCTTCTGGAATCTCTTAAAATTTGTCAAACATTGATAGGATATGTCGGAAATCGTTGGAACGATTTGCCATGTTATTGCCATGGCCTAAACCATGGTCGGCATCGAGATTTCCTCCTGGAAATATGGTGACTCCAACTATGCAGGCGACAAAACGCCAAAACGGTTCTGTCTCGAACCTCAGAATGGTTCTATGCATCTGGGTTTTGGGACAGAGCCGGCTCGGCTCTTTTGGTTCGATTTTCTATTATTTAGGGTTTTTAGAACCCCAAATCATGCTTATATTTTATTTAGATTCTTTGACTCACAAATTCCACATAACGAATTTATAATTGCGTATGCATGAACATATATATATTGACAAATATATGAACATATACAATATATATCGGAAGGAAAATATAAATGTAGGGGGTTCATGCATCATAGGAATGTTTTCATGCTTCATGGTCATTTCAAATATCTTCCTTTATTTTAAGCGTACCTAATTGACTAAAAACAATAAAAGCCTTTGAATTTTGTAGAAGATCATTCTCTAAAAGCCATAATTTTATCTCCAATGCATTGTATCACGTTTAACACAGAAAAATTAAATGGAATCAATATCATGTAGATCAATTCAATAAAATAATAATTTAATCATAAAAATAATGATTGAAACGTAATACTCTCCTGATTGAAGAATAAACTCTATTTAGCATAGCGTCAAGAGCGTGCTGATAACGTGTTGTAGGCATAATTTACTAAATAATTATGGAGGCCAGGGAGAGAGGGGTGTGGCAATAGTAGACAGAAGAGAGATATGTGTAATTGTGAGGTGTGTTCTATTTTACCCCATTGTGCCTTTATTTATAGTAGTTGGGAAGATTAATTCTTTACCCTAATATGATTACAACTCTAATAGGATAATATTTTCTCTAAGAGATATGGTAGAATCCCATAAGGATATCCTAGATATGTTAGGATTTACACAATCACATTCTTAATCTAATAGGACAGCAACAATTAAAACCAATTTTCGGTTGGAATTAAGACGATTGACACAATCAAGGCTAGCCAAAATCAACTATCACAATTGAAGAAGATTTTTTTTTTTTTTTTTTTTCCCCAAATGAAGAAGATTTTTGTTGATTGAAGTAAGCACGGGCCAAATAATGGCCAGCCATGTTGGGACTTATCCTGGTCATATAAAAAATACAAGCTTGGAAGAGAAAATGAACCCGATCAAACACAAACTTGTCATTCTATATTCTCTTCAATTCCTATATTAGCGTAACGTAACCCTATTAGATTAGGTTTTATGCATTTACTACCCACACTTCTATTTCATTTTTTTCATTTTCTAAATTACACAATTTAGTTATCACATAGTATTTTAATTCAATTTGTCTGTTACAAATTAATTCATGCCCTCTCATTTCAATTCTTTATTTTATGCACTTCAATTCTTGTCATAATCTTTTTCAGTTTCATTTACATTCAAACACATTTATTCTAAGGTACTCGTCTTTAATATAATTTATTTTCTCTCAACTGGATTAATTTTAATCTTGTTTATTTTCAATTCCTTTCACTTTCTCACTTGATCTTTACCTTCACCATTTCGTTATTCATTCAACGCATTGCCTTCAAGGTAAAGAAACAAGCTAGCCAGGCCGAGAAAAGGTTATTATCGTTTGATCAGAAGTCAAATTCAAGGTGCAAACACAATCGCTTTTGCATATTTTCTAAATCGGCCATTGTAGGCCACGAGGTGGCACGCTTACTCATCTAAAGAAGGACCACAAATCCTTCTTGGCGACCTTCCAGGCCAAATAGAGGGAAACATGTTTGACAAAAATTGTTGCAGAAATGCAAGGAAGAACAAACTTACCTATAGCTCTCCACATAAATACCTGGGGGAGAGGGCCGAGTTTATTTGTTTACGGTGAACTTTTCAAGTTGAGCAGTTTCCTTCGCGTAGGGGTTGTTTTAGAGGATTTTCTTCGTAGTTTACGTTTTCTATTGAACAAATTGAAGTATAAATAACACGTGGAGCTCATACTACAAAAGGAATATATATCTTTTTTGTAGAATGTGAAACTGTTTGATCTCTTTTTTAATCATAGAGACTAAACTTAGGCGTAATCATCGGTCATACAGATGTCAGTCTCAACTCTCAACTCTCGAGAAAAACAAGGTTCATGATAATTCATAGAAACACATGTCAGTTATGAATATGGTACGATAAAAATCTAAAGGCAAATGATAGCAATTAAGTAGAAGCACTCCCATCATCTGTCATTTGAAGTGAAAATGGGCACCTTGTCTTTTTTTGCATAACTAAATGTGTAATGCCATCATCACATTCCAAAGTTGCTTTCTATTCACTTCTGGAATATTTGGCCAAAATCTGTCTACGAATTGATTATAATTTAGGTGCACTAATTGTATTTGTTCCCATTTGGAATGGTAAACTATGATAATTGCTCTTTGGACAACCATATAGCCTAACTAACTAATTTAATAATAAATAAGTCCATGTTTCAATGAGAGCTTAAGCTGACTATATATTGCTCTTTCATTGATGTTGAACTTTGTTATAACTATTAACAAGTGGACATGACAACAATTGAAGTGACAAAAACCTATTAGAGAAGCTATGATCATTTATATATGTTGCTATTTTCTTTGGAAGGAGAATGATAAATGTAAAAGATTATTGTTATTAAATCAATTTAGTAAGGACCGCGCTTGAGTTTTTACTAACCACTCGAGTAAATGAGAATTGTTACTAATGCTTAAAAAAAAATTGTGTGTTCTTTCCTTGTTTAATTTCATTAGAGAAGAGAGTGTCAATAACAATTTCTTTATAACTCAAGATAATATTTCGAGAAACAGAAAAATAGAAAAACGAGAGGGGACAAAAATATATTATATATCTTCATCAAATGTGTAGTACAACCTACTTATCTCCCACTGATAACAAAATTCCACCCACCATGCATTATTCTTTTTGTACATCTCATAATAACTACAATCGATATATATACCAACTAGTTATTATTATTAACCTTGATGTATCTCTCCCTACATTTTTATGTAGCTATTCACATCTTCCTTCACAAAGTATATGACACTCTTTGAAGCCTCTGAGCGCCATGAAAAAAGCAGATACATACAAGACTACTCTTCATTGTCACTTTATATATACTCAAGTGTGACCTTTATTTCAACCACCATGTCCCACTTCATCTGAGCTACCCTTGAACTCTTGCCTTCTGATACCATATATGGTAATATAAAAGTAGAATAAACACTGTTTTTCTACTTCTGCAGTCTATGACTAGGAACAATTTTCTACCAACCTTCAGGAATAAAGCAGGGATCCTCAATGAAAAAGATAAAATCCAAGAAAAAGAGATGGAGGAATATTTGAAGGCTTATTCAACTTTGGTAGTCAAGAAAAGGAAATGAGGAAGATGAAACATCTTTCATCAAATCCTCCAAGTCCCAGTCCCCCATGGTGAGCTCTTCCTGATCATCATCGAAGTAATTCCCAACCCCAGTTATGCTCTCACCTTTAATATTTTTATTGCAGGTGAGGATGCTATTTATATTATTGTAGTAATTATTATTATTACTACTACTAGGGTTTCTATGATCCCCATAGATGGTTTCAGTTTTAATATTTTGATCTTCAGTGCTCACACTCTCAAGAGGAGGGACAAATATCTCTCCTTCTACCCCAATATCAACATCTCCACTCCCAAACACTCCATTTTCTCCAAAGTTATAACAATCACCAACACCACCAACAACAACTTCAATCTCCCTTTGTGTTATGCATGGGTTGGCATTGTGGTATCCACCTGCGCCGGGAAAGGTTAGGCCGCCATGATTTATATCGAGCATAGGCAATGGATCAAACATGTGGTTGAGGACCGTAGATTGCATGAACGATGGTGTTGAGTCCATGTAAATTGGCAACATGCCATGTTCTTGCCCGGGAGTAATGAACCCTCCGGTCACCATCACACAATGATCCTTAGGCTCTGAGGATGAATCGCTTGCGTTTGGTGAGCCATTTGAGGATGACAAATTCTTTAACCTTTTCTTTATTGTTGAATTCCAGAAATTCTTTATTTCATTGTCAGTTCTCCCAGGCAAGCGTGCTGCAATTTGGGACCACCTACACGTATAAAAACAAAATATAATTAAGAATTTAATGAGTCATATATCATTAATTAAAAGAGTTGGTTTTAAAGAGTGTTTCATTCTTGACCAACAAGGTAATATTTAAGTGTTTGATTTCTTTTTGCCCCAACAGCAAGAGAGTTTCATTATTGACCAACAAGAAACTATGTAGTCTAATATTCGCTTCCTAAATGCATAACTTGCATGCCTTCCAAACTTAAAACACAAAAAAAATTTGAGTGTCTTCGACTCAAAAATTAGAGATGTAAGACTTTTATTTTCACATCTTCACACGCCTTCTCACATGTAGCAATTTTTCAAACCAAACTTTTTGACAATAGATATCACATTATGGTATCAATTTCTTTATTTAACTATAGCTTTTGGCAGCCAATGCCGTAGGAAACATTGAAGAAACCAAAGTGAATTATACATTTAACAATATTGATGGTTAGTTTGCATGGAAGCGAGTCTCACATAATATTGAAATTGAAATTTGTGGCACTAATAGCATTATTCTTAAAACAATAGGGGAAGCGTTATTCTTAAAACAATAGGGGAATAGCAAATCGTGAATTGTTCTAATAAATAGGATATTCATTTTCAGAACATTACGTACTAAGTTCAAATCCTTATCTCTTTGTAATTTAGATGAATTTAGTGCAGATAATTTTTAACTCAAAGGACCATACAGACCATGTATAAGATACCAACCCTTTTTCACTTTCATATATTAAAAAAATTTAATAATTGAGGCTCAATATTTGTGATTATAGTCAATATTGGCGTACTCATCCCAAAAACAATAAATAAATATAACTCAACCAACTAGTTCTTTCTGTATATATGATCAGTATTAAGATACAGGAAAAAAGTATTTTTGTATATATATGGAAGTATACATATGTCGTCTAAGGTATATATGTGTGCAAGCACTTTAAGGTTAGGGATCTCCATTTTATTCAAAAATTGGAGATTAGTTATGGGACCCACTCCACATCGAGCTTCAACGACCCTGACCGTCTATTTTGTAAGTCTCGATTCATAGATCATCCTTGCAAAAATTCAATTCAATCCAAAACCATTTGCCTATTTAACTATCACGATTAAATTTCTATGTTTTCTTATAACAAAATGTTCGCCAATTTCTTTGAACTCACTTAGATGCATCAAATATGTGGATAATATTTTGTAAGGATGATCTATGAAGTGCAACTTAAAAAAATAGACGGCTCAGATTGTTAAATTTCAATGCGGTGTGGGCTCCACAACTAATCCCCTTTATAAAAAATAAAGATCCTTTCACTTAAAAGCTTCCTGTATGTGTATGTATTTTTGTTCAAAGATATAGTTATACTTTGAATATCCTTTGTAAGTGGATTAGCACCAAAGATACTAAATTGTATTTAACAACCTCTTGAACTAGTGGTGTTTCTTTTCATTGATAATACATTTGTATTCGTTTAAACAAAAGATCGTAGTAAATGACATCTTTTGAAAGACACATGGCATGTCAAATTTGGAGTCTATCCAGATCAAACTCAATTGTCAAACAGTCAACAAAGAGTGCAGAGGCCCCAAAATTTCAATGACTTGGAATGGGGATTGTATATTCTCAAAATGCCTTCTCATTATTGTTTTGACCTCATTTTTTCTTCTTATTTACTCTTCCACACCAAAGCTGTAATATAAAAGAATGCCATCTCATCCTGTATAAAGTGCGTTTCATTGGACAAATATTTAGCTAATTAATTAGTAACTTCTTGTGCATCTGAATTTACTAATCACAACAGCATGCAGATGCAAAACATTTCACAAATAGGAAGTGATCACTTCTGGAAAGTGATGCCAACAAAAACAAAAAGTGCTTCCTCTTCGCATGAATATTAAAAAATCAAACATGTAAGTAGTAAAAAGAGTCAATTGATAAAAACCTGTTTCCAAGGAGAGAATGTAAATGGATAATGAGCTCTTCTTCTTGGGGCGAAAAGGCGCCTCGCTTAAGGTCCGGCCTCAAGTAATTGATCCAGCGCAATCTGCAACTCTTGCCGCACCTCTGCAGTCCAGCATTTCTTGCCACATCACTCCAACAACCTTGACCATTGTTGATCATATAGCTCATCAGCTTGTCATCCTCCTCCGGTGACCACAAACCCTTTCGGAGCTTACTGTTAGAGTTGTTCTCTTTGTTATTCTTGCCTGCTGGTGCAGAGGAGGGTTCTGGCTTCCTCATTGTGACGAGAAAGTGATGGGTGAAAGGAGAGAGCTAATTGAGAAGTAATGTTTTTGGATGTCTTATTCTCTCCCAACTGGTTTGATGAAAATATGTGATGAATTTATAGAGAAAAAGAGAGATACAAGGCTTCATATGGTGGGAATGATGATGATAATGATGATGGTGATGGTTGTGGGGTTGCTTACAATATAGGGAAGAGAGAGAGAAAGAGAGAGAGAGAGAGAGAGAGAGAGAGAGAGAGAGAGAGATAGGGGTTGGTTGATGGGTCTGAGTAGAAAACGGTTTGGAGAGGGACCTGGTATGAGAGAGATAGGTGGTCGTCTTGTCTTTTGACTCCATGACCTTTGTCCTTTTTTCTAAACCTATTTTCTTCATTCTCAAGGTAATCATAATATTATATGAATCATATAAAAGCATCAAAGAATTTTTCTTTTCTTTTTGGAACCAAGCCAACATATGAATTTGCTTCCACTTCACATAATCTCTCTCTCTCTCTCTCTCTCTCTCTCTCTCTCTCTCTCTCTCCACACGTGTAGTTGAAGATAAAGAATAAGATAATCAAGAATATGCATGCTGTGCACTTATTGATCCAGTTCATCCAGCTTCAATGTTGATTGGCCATGAGATCCACATGTTAAAGCTTCTTTTTTTTTTTTGGTCAATACATGTTTAAGCTTCATATGTATACATGAATTGAATATAGAAAAAGAAGTAGAAAAGACTCCAGTGTGTGGATAATTTATCCTTAAATTATATTCTCATATAAGAAAGGTGACAAAAGAAGTGATTTGGAGCTTTCACAATCAATCTGTTGAATACTGAAACGGTTAAAACAAGTTAATATACTATTATATTGTACCTGGTGTTTTATATGTGCATGTATCAGTTGAACAAGTGCAGTGAATCAATTATCAATTAACCTATATTTCCAAAGTCAATCCAAGAGTTAAATACTAACTCTAGGTCCTAAAATTGGTTTGACACCCTAAGTCTAATTTCAATCACAATGAAAAATTTCTCCCAAGTTAGCTGCAAATTGTTTGGACCACTATTAGAGATAATTTATTTATACACAGAAAATACATTCTTACCAGACAGCCTATCAACATAAGATGTTAATTTTGTGTCAATTCTTTAAATTTATAATTTAGCAACATAAAATAAAATGATTTAGATCGTTTGCTTTAGAATCATAAGCTCAAAGCGGCTCCTTAAGACCTTTTCTATTGAGTCTATGGGTCTACCCGCGGGTCGAGAATTTGAACCCTACGGCGAGAGGGACACCTTATGAACCGAGCATCTTCTGCTAAGAGGGCAGCAAAGCGCCTTAGGTTTTTCTGCCAGTCCTTCAAGTCTGCGATTGATTAACACCCAGTTGAGCACTCACTTTAGATTGTTCGTTAGCAATCTATCCAAATCTTGAAGAACCAATTATATGTACCTGACTTTGCGCCTTGATATTTTTCAGTATTTAATTGATTAGTTAGTTTCAGCCACTTGTACACAGGTTCCATTCGTGGATACCATGGATTGGTTTCTCTAGTTTAATCATATTCTAAAGCTACAATAATTTGAAGGGTTCAGCATAAATATTCAAATAATGGATTAGAATTCAAGCAAGCCAGTCTCTTATGCCTTAAATTGGCAGTTTTGATTTGATATATTGCAACAGATCATTTGACTTATAATAACATCTTTTAGAAGCAACATATATTGCATGCTTGCACATTTCTTTACTAGTTTTTCTCTTAGCAAGAAATCTATATATATTGTATATTGTCTTCTGGGCATGCCGATTTGAGGTTTTTTCTATACAACAATATTGGGGGAAGTATGTGTCTATTGATGTTAAGCCATATAAATTTCTACCGAACTCGTCCTTCATGAAAATTAAACTTAAAACCTCACAATTACAAGCTTAAAAGAGTACATATAGTTGTGATGATTTTACTTGAATTACTCTACGCTACATATGGTTTTTAAATAAAAAGTTGAGTGCTGTGATTTGAGCCACTTGTATGACTATTTTATTGATCACCTCTCTAATACAAGTGGATCATAAATGTTTAGGTCTCTATTAAAGAGATGATCACCAAAGTGGTTAGCAAATATGATATAATTGCATTGCTTTAAATAAAAACAATTACGTTGTTGTAAATTAGAAAACCAAAAGTGCAAATTATAAGTTAGGTTGGTGATTTTCACACACCCTATTTGCTTTACACACATTTTCAAATCACTCCATTTTAACCCCCACACACTTTCTAAAAAGCTATTAAACAATTGAAAGAGAACAAACAAATAAAATAAGGTGTGTGAAAATCACCACCCATAAGTTAAATGCCAGAGCCCTGTAAACTTGAAGAGGACACATAATCACCTTCTAGAAGGAAGATATCTGGAACTGTAATTGAGTTAGCTACTAATTATTTATCGAACAGAGCTCTCTGGTACATGAAATGATTCATTGGCAAAAGGAAGAAACGCCTACATGAAATGATTCATGATTGGAACAATTGACCACAAAAAAACAAGTTCATAATTGGCGGAACCACTATATTAGGTTTTTTTACCGCACGCATAAACAAATCCAAGTTTTTTATACTAGCCAATAGAATTCAATTTTTCTTCATGCAATAGAATTCATTAGTGCTATTTCAACAGTGATGGCGTACAATTATTATTTTGGCTGCAAAACACACCATCAGTTGTGTACAAATGTCAATCCATGTCGCTAATGTACTGTGCTGATTTGGGAAAAATAAGAGAGTTGGAAGGAAATGAAGAGTTCTATATGCAGAAGTTTGACCATGAAAACCTCAGATGATTGACGAGATGTATGAATATATGTATCAGTCCCCTTTCTTTGAGGACTTCTTAAATAATTTTATGGGATACTTTGGATGCGGTCTCTAGTCCTTAATATTTTTGAACTAAAACCTTAATAGTATTCAAAGTTTGATTAAAGTCTCTTAACTTTGTACACCTCATTATGTTATTATTAATATTTATATTTATATTTTTATAGTTTTGACATTAATTGTTTGATATTTTATGAGATTTATAATCCTATAAATTTAAAATCTCTCATTATAATACTATTAGAAACGGCTACAATAAAAAATATTCAAACATTTTGATTGAATAAATGGATAAAAACTATTTAACAATAAGAAATAATAAATGGCAAAATAATGTATCCATAGTGTTAAAAAAAATTGGTACATTTCACATATAATAAAGTGGTACACTAATAAAGAAGAATGGGTACATTAGGGTACAAATAAAAGATTAAAAAATTATGAGTACAAATGAAATTTTAAAAAATATGGGCGCAAAAATAAATTAATACATGTGACACACCCTGACCTGGAATGTCCACTAGGACTCTGAATCGAGTTGTGCTGGCTAACACCAGGACCCGAGTCCCCACCATATCCTGGGCCTGGATGTGACACATGGGTACAAATTAAAACTAAAAAGAAAATACTACAAATTTAAAGTTTAGCCATAAAACATGTTTGTACCATACTTGATCAATCCCGAAACTAAAGAGCACCGGTCAATGTTATACTGTTAAGGATCCAGAAGAGTTTCCCTCCAACCAGGAGGCCAATCACAGCGCGACACGTGTCGACATTAAAAGTCAATCATAACGTGACACGTGTCAACATCGGAAGCCAATCACAGTTCTCATTAATTATGTAAACCCTTCATAATTAATGAGAACTCCTCTACTCCGTGGACGTAGCCAATCTGGGTGAATCACGTACATCTTGTGTTTGCTTCCCTGTCTCTATCCATTTACATATTTGTCCTCACTAGTGGCCGGAGCAATCTAGCGAAGGTCACAAACTTAACACTTTATGTTGTACCAAAGTCTTCACTGATTTTGTGCATCAACATTTGGCGTCGTTTGTGGGAACGACACTTATTCCCACTCTCTTCAGATTTGTCAAGTTGGTTTCCACCATTCTTACACTCTTTTTTTATTAGGCATCCCTCTCCAACATGGGGAGCGAAGGAAGCCTTAACACACAGAATGACACCCCTCTTGCACCTAGTGCGAAGCAACGAAAGAAGGAAGGAAAGAGGGTTGCTCTTCAAGCTAAAGTTGATGAGCTAGAAGCTCAGAACAACAAGATAGCAATGAAGAATAAGGTCCTCCATGAGCATTATGAGAAGCTCTTTGAGACGCTCCATGAAACTAGGCGTACTCAAACACGCGAGCTCGTTACCCCTGTGGACATCAACCATCATCTAGGTGCCTCTCAACACGGAGGGTCACCTTCCTTCGACATAGGTATCCCTGATGAGGAGCGAGTTAATCATCAAAACATTGATCAACATGAGACTTCTCTCAACCCAGCCGCTTCGACCCGAAGCAGGAGGAGTGGAGGGAGGCACCTCTTTACAGAAGGAATGGAAGGATCGAAAGCTGTATTTCGCGACTGTCGAGACTTCTTAAAGTAATGTCGAGACAATCTCATCCATGTAAGCTCGAAGATCAATGACCCAAGGGTCTTTGAAAGACTCGGTCTCCTCTTATGTCCCAGGCTAACTACCAATTGGGGAAGGGGCAACAAGTCCTAGAGAAACACGAAGGTATAAGGGACTCAGAGATGTTCTGATAGACATACCTTGGAAGTCAGTACGGCGAGTCTAGGGAAAAATCACATGCTCTTGATCAAACATTCCTACTTCCAAGAGGAAATGGAGATTTACGAAAGAAAGCTCCAGTGGTACATGACTCCACTCAGGACCCTATTGTCCTACAGCTTTTTAAGGAAGTAAACAAGTTGAGGCCGAACAACAAGCTGAGATACCTGATTGGAACCAACCTAGGCCTGGCATTCTTACAAGGAGGATCCTCAACACCCCCTCCAAACAAAGACAAAGCAGAAGCTTGCCTTGTAACTCTATACTCGAAAGAAGGACCCGATTGAACACCTTAACCTCTTTGAGTCCACCATGGGATACCGGATGCATACCAACGAAGAGCAATGTCTTCTCTTCCCCTCCACCCTCTCTGGCGGAGCTCTAAACTGGTATTTCCGTCTTCCACCTGAGACGGTAAACTCATTTGAGGAATTG